TGGTGTTGGAGAAGACTCTTGAGAGTCCCTTGGACTGCAAGGAGATCCAACCAGTCCATCCTAAAGGAGATCAGTCCTGAGTGTTCATTGGAAGGACTGATGCTGAAGCTGAAACTCTAATACATTGGCCACCTGATGTGAAGAGCTGACTCATTAAAAAAAGACCCTGAGGCTGGGAAAGATTGAAGGCAGGAGGAGAAGGGGACGACAGAGGATGAGATGGTTGGATGGCATCATTGACTCAATGGACATGAGTTTAAGCAAGCTCCAGGAGTTGGTGATGGACAGGGAGGCCTGGCGTGCTGCAGTCTGTGGGGTCACAAAGAGTCAGACACGACTGAGCGACTGAACGACAACAACAACATGTTATGAACAAAGGGGTGCGTGTATTTTTTGAATTACAGTTTTGTCTGGATATATGCCCAGGACTGGGATTTCTGGATCATATGGTGATCCTATTTTCAGTTTTCTGAGGAACCTCCATACTGTTTTCCACAGCAGCTGCCCTAACTTACATTCCCACCAACAGTGTAGGAGTGTTCCCTTTTCTCCGCACCCTCTCCAGCACTTGTTATTTGTAGACTTTTTAATGATGGCCATTCTGACTGGTGTGAGGTGGTACCTCACTGTAGTTATGATTTACATTTCTCTAATAATTAGTAATGTTGAGCATCTTTTCATGTGCCTATTATCCATCTGTATTTCTTCTTTGGAGAAATGTCTATTTTAGGTCTTCTGCTCATTTTTGGATTGGGTTGTTTTTTGTTGTTGAGTTTATAAGCTGATTGCATATTCTGGAAATTATAGCCCTTGATCATATCATTTACAATATTTTATCCAATTCTATAGATTGTCTTTTCATTTATTTATGGTTTCCTTTGCTGTGCAAAAATTTGTAAGTTTCATTAGGTCCTATTTTTTAATTTTTGTTTTTATTTCTGTTTCCTTGGGAGACTAGCCTAAGAAAACATTGGTAAGATTTATGTCAGTGTTTTGCCTATATTCTCTTCTAGGAGTTTTATGATGTCATGTCTTATGTTTAAGTCTTTAAGCCATTTTAAGTTTATTTTTGTGTATGGTATGAATATATATTCTAATTTCATTGATTTATAGTCAGCTGTCAAACTTCCCAACAGCACTTGCTGAAGTGACTTATCTTTTTCCCACTGTATAATCTTGCCTCCTTTTTAGCAAGTTAGTTGACCGTAGGCATGTGGATTTATTTCTCAGCTCTCTGTTCTATTCTGTTGTTCCATACATCTTTCTTTGTGCCAATACCATGCTCTCTTTGGTTGCTGTAGCTTTGTAGCATTGTCTGAAGGGGTAGCTTATGCCTCCTGCTTTGTTCCTTTTACTCAAGATTGCTTTGGCAATTCTGGGTCTTTCATGGTTCCATATGAACTTTAGAATTATTGGTTCTAGTTCTATAAAAAATGTCATGGGTACTTTGATAGGGATCACATTGAAGAGGCCACCTTAACTTTTAACTGCCCGTGCACTCCACTCCAGCCTCTCAGATGGAACTTGGATGAGCACATACTCACCTCCCCTTCAGCTTTCATCCTCTGAAATCTGCTTTATTGTCTTGCCCCACTCCTCCATAGCTTGTAGAAATACTAAAGGAACCTGACTTTGTCAAAGAATGCTTCAATTTCAGTAGAATTTCTTGATTGAGTCCACTTAACTCATCCCTGGGGGAGGACAAAGATGTCACAAGAGGAACTTTTCCTAGTGTAGGGGGAGCAGGGCAATGCCTGGCTTGGGTGGTCCCCCTGATGTAGACCTCATCACTATTTTCTGTAAAGCAGAGCATCATGCCTCCCAATACCACAGGAGGAAAATCTGGAGTAAGATTTCTTATGCTCCTGATGATAATGTTTAGTGTTCAAAACAATACATGAAAAGATGCTCAACATTATTTGTCAAGAGGGAATGACTTCATCAGTGAAGCCAAAACCATAATGAAATACCACTTCACACAAAGATGACAATAATAATCATGATAATAATATTAACAAAAATAAGTGGTGCTGAGGGTGGGGAAGAATGGAACTTTTGTACATGGTTAGTTGGGATATAAAAAGGGGCAGCCTCTGTGGAAAACAGTATTCAATTCCTCAAAAACTCAAAGGTCATGTATGACCCAGCAATTCCGTATCTATGTATATACCCAAAAGAACTGAAAATAGATACTCCAAAAAATACTTGGATACAAATATTAATAGCTACACTATTCACAACTTCCAGAAGGCGGACACAACCCAAATGTCCATCATGAATAAAGTGTGGTATATACACACAAAGGAATATTATTCAGCTCCAAAAAGGAATGAAGTATTGATACATGTTACAATGTGGATGAAGCTCTAAAACAGCATGCTAAATGAAAGAAGACAGACACAAAAGTTCAGATGTTGTATGATATAACTTAGATGTTGTATGATATAACTTATATGAAATACCCAGAAAAGGTAAATCTAGAGAGAGAGAAGAGGTTGGTAGTTGCCAGGGGATGGGAAGGAAATAGTGGGGAGAGCCTACTTACTGGGTATGGGCTTTTATTTGGGGATGAAAATATTTTGGAATTAGAGATGGTGACTATACAACATTGTGAATGTACTAAACACCATTGAATTTTTCCTTTTAAAACGGTTGATCTTATATGACTGATTTCACATCCAAAAAAAAAAAAAAAGTTAACTGATAAAAAGACAAAATCAGTAACAGCCCACCAGATGGGTTTTCAGAGCTATCATACTTTTTTAGAAACTTAATAGGTGAAGGATGAATCTTCGTATGATTCAAGGATTTGTCCCAGCTTGACTGCCCAAGCCTCAGTCCTGCAATGGACATCTCTTGCTTAGGGTCCCCTTGCAATGCTATGGCTTCATCAGCTCTCACTTGGCTGAATACTGAGGAGATGGATGGAGGTAAAACAGACCTCTCCCACCAGAAGGTCAAACCTATACCTAAGCATTTCTAACTGCCATTTAAGTTTACTAGCATATAAAAGTAAAACGCTCAGTTACAAACCCTAACTTTGAGCCATTAAAAAGGCTCTTGATTATATATGAGAACTTGTAAGTGTTTAAAACTTAATTCTACCTAGAAGTTTTGGCTTAATCGTTTTAAATAAGTAACAGAAGCAAGTGGTGATAATCTACCCTTTGTCCTAATTTTAGAATGTGAATAATTAACCTTCCAGGGGGAAAAACAGAATTTTAAGAGCAGTTCAATCCAATAAATGTTCAGTTTAGAAATAGGTTGGTCCTGCTGGTACAGACTGTTACTCCTGATTTATTGCAGTGGCAATTCCCATGAAATCAGTCGTTACTTCAGTTAAACTATTGAAGCATTAACGCCTTAAATTCTGCTTTCAGGCACTTAAATATTGGATAATATTGATTTTTATGGGGATTATGGTAAAAAGGGCTTGTGGTAAAAGGCATAAAAAGTTACATTGTTGCTACATCAAATTTTGTTAACAAAAATGCTAAGTTCCTACAAATTTTCGATTCTAAAAATAAGTTTTTCCCAGGTAAAATCGAGAATAGTGATTATTGTTTAAGGTTTATATCTAGAATAGATATTATAGTACCCAACTATACAAGTGTTTTTGTTCAGCAATAGGCTTACAAGAATAAAAGCTGGTGGTGCAGACAGTTGGGCACCTTATAATACAGAAAGACACATCCTTCCTGAACCTCTATGGGGGAATCTAGTTACCAAAATGTCCCAAGAAATTTCTTCTCCAAAATGTCACATCATTGTAAGAAGGCTTTCAGGTATCAGTGTGTTGGTAACTGCCCCACGTGTAGATTACCTAGTTACCCTAACTACCTTCTTTCAAAATGAAAAAAAAAGAAAAAAGGAATAGGAAGAGGAGGGAGAAAGAGGAGAGGGAAGAAGAGGAAGAAATAATAAATGAGGAGAGTAATCTGGTTTCCCTGCCCCAGAAGCAATTAACATTGGAAACCCAATGGGCCAAGCTAAACATTAACCACTGCTTTTGGTTGGCCTTTGGCAACACAGGGGAGAGAGATCCACCTGGCTTTCAGAAACCAGCTAGGTGGGTCCAACATCTAACCTCACGGTTGAGAAGCAATGTGACCTTGAATAAGTTCATCAGCCTCTCTGAGCCTTTGTCTCTTCACGCACCAGTACAAATGATCCCACCAATCTCCCGGAAAAGTAGGTCTCAGTGAGAGAACCTGCTTAAGTTCCCATCTGGAAGCACCCTGCCTCTCCTGTGGTCTAAAGCACTGACGGCTTAATCTGGAAGGTCTGTTCCTGATTTTGATGCTATACCAAGAAGTCAGGACACAGCTGATGCTACTATATTTTTTTTATTAGAAAACAAATTAAATAAAATAGTGATTGATTCTATATAAAATTGAACACGAGTCCATGGTTCATGGTGGGGAAGGCTCAGAAGATGGAGGCAAGGACGTGGTAGCAGCAGTTTCTTTTTCTTCGTATCTGGGAGGCAGTTCGGACAAGAGGTGGAGAGTGTGGGAGGTCTCAGAGGATGAAGCGGTCCCAGAAATCGTATATATCGATTCACAATCTCTCTCAGAGGCCGCGCCTTGGCCCTCAGGAGTTGGGGACCTATGAAGAAGAAGAGGAGGGAACATGAACGGGAGAACAGGGAATCAGTCATCACGCTTAAATACCAGGTTCTGTTCACATGTTTAATTAGATGCATTTGGAAGCATTTGCAAGGGCTTCCAGAGTAACTTCTTCCCATATATATTTTGCATAGATATGTTTTAACTTCTTACCCCTTACTGTCCTTAGAGCTGATTGTAATATTAAGGCAGTTTCACTCCTGTTGTCATTCTGCTTGTCATTGAAAAGACAAAGAGTACAAACATATGGATGCCTTCCAAAAAAGTACACACACATACATACACAGCTACTCCTCTCTGCTATTTCATCTGGAGACAGCTAACATAAGGGAGACAAACTTGTGCAAATAAAAAATTGAATCATTAAGCCAAAAGCTTGAAGGGAGGTGGGAAGGCATACTGGTTAATGGAGTGGGCTCCAGCAAAGGGCAGACCTGCATCTGAACTTCCACCCTGCTGCTTTTGAGCTGTTTGATCTCTAAGCCTCAGCTTTCTCATCTGTAAAATGGGGGTGATGACAGTGTGTACCTTCTAACTAACTATGAGAATGATATAAGGTAATGGAAGAAAAGCCAGACTCTGGCATAGTGGCAGCTGGGGGAGTTGTTTTTAGTAGAAGTAATAGACAGCTATCTATTTATCTCTGCGAAATTCATTACTGGAGAAAAGAATACAAAAATTCACAAACAGAATTCTCCAAATTCCAGAACCTAACCTCCCTTTCATCCACACAGGGCAACTCCTGCATTCGTCCCTGGTTGGATCTCCAGCTCACCACCCAGTTTGGAGCACTAGACTGTGTACCCTAAAACACGAATGACCAGGTAAGGCAGCACTCATCCCTAGCATGCTCAGGTCCCTAGCCATCTCCTGGGTCCCGCTTCTCACTTCCTTTAAAAACTGCGTGTCTCAACAGTCAGTTTTCACTGAGTGCGGCTCTGTCCTGGGAGATTTTCCAGTGATCCTGCCTTCACTTCCTACACCCTGGGTTCCCATCTGAGGAGGTACAGTGCCTGCCCCAGCCCTGCTCATCTGGCGTCTCCCAGAACTCCTTCCTTTCGCACCTTCCCTGCCCGAGGAGTCGCCACAGGTCTCTGACGCCTCTGCCCTCTTGGTTTCAGCTGCCTCTTTGCCATTCCATCTCCAGGACCTCAGTTCCCTCCAAGCTCTGGCCTGTCCAGTCTCCCTCCAAGGCCCACGCCTTGCTCTCCTTCCACCACAAGCCAGCCATTCTCTTCTCCTGATTATACGAGCCCATTCCCATCCTCCTCAGTCAGGGACCTGCCCTGTCACTGTCTCTCACCCTTGACGTCACGACCTCTGATTTTCCCATCATCCTTCACCACAGATTCCCTCCCATACTCCTCCTCCCCCTTCCTTTTTTTTAAAAAAAATTAATGCTGTATCATTTTATTTAATTTGGCCACACCACCCAGCACATGGGAATCTTAGTTCCTTGACCTGGGATTGAACCCACGACCCCTGCAGTGGAAGCACAGTCTTAACCGCTGGGCCACCAGGAAGTCCTGCTCCGCCCTTTCTGATCACCACAGTCCCAGGCTCCTGTTACTTCAACTGACCCATGGCCGCGAGTCAGCCTCCGAACTGGTGGCCACCCTCAGCCTCCCCCACTCAGAGCTGAGCTCACCACTGCTCATATTCCGTTGCTGTAACTCCTCAACCTTCAGTGGCATCCCTCTGCCTCAAGAAAAAACACTCACGTTTACACAGTTTAATGTGACCCCAGGCAGGCTTCCTAATTTGTGACGTGTGGGAAGCCTGGGGGATGTAAGTGGGAATCTAACATTTCTCTTCAAGAATCTGAGAAGACTCTGAGGCCCAGGCGACAACTTAAAATTGAGGGGAGAAGACGGGCATGCTCAAGGCAGGGTGCAGGCTGATTTCAGTCAGTCACTCAAGTATCCCCATTAGATACCGGAACCTCTGTACATTCTGGGGGTCTCCTGGGACCCCCACACCTCCCACAGTCCACAGCAGCCCAACTTAGCAGGGGCCTCCCGAGTTCTGGTCCAGCACTTGGGCTGGCTGACAGGTGGTTCAGCATTTTGAGGCCCAGTTCTGCTACAAGCACACACAGATGCCTGGAGAAGGCTTCACATGAACCTGGCGTAACCACTCTTATAATTTTTAATTTATGTGCCACCCAAAGTTTCCTGGAAGGTGCTGTGAATATTAAGACGACAATTCTGACATAGCATAAAGCTGACTTGGCCTGAAGACAGGCACAGGCCTGAAGTGGTTCAATGTTTCTACAGGTCAGGTTCAAAGGCAGAGTCTTACCCAGAGTGAAAAATACTATAATATGAAGGTGGGTGTTCATCTGGCAGCAAACCGTCAGCCCCAGGACTCCGAGTAGCCGCAGAAGCTGAAGACTCAGGAAAGTAAGGTGGTGGAGGGGGTGGGAATATGATCACGGCATCACCTAAGGAAACACCACATTTTGTTGAAGATGGATGAGTAAAAAATGGAAGCAAATGAGCGAGAGCTAAACACATTAATTATACCTTTGGCCCATATATAGCAAAGGTCAGAACACCAGAACTGAAAAGTGGACCTATCAAGTTTACAGAGGCAGAGAATAGAGGTTACTAAGGAACTGGCGGCAAGGGCGATAGAGTTCGAGTTTAATGGAGGCAGAGATTCTGTTCAGGATAATGAGAAGCCTTCAGGAACTGGTAATGGTGATGGCGGGTTGTACAGCACAGTGCACGGACCGAGTGCCACTCTACACTTAAAAATGATTAAATTGGTAAATTGTAGGTCATATCTTTTTTACCATCTTAAAAAGAACTGAGCCTACATTTCATAGCAAGTCTCAGCTAAAGCGTTTCTCGCAAGTGTTTGCTAACAATGTTCCTTACGTCCCCTGGGATGTTCACTGCTGTAAAGTTTTTCTCATTTCCAACTTACAGTTTTAATTCTTCAAAAGTCAGCTGTTGGGTAAAGTGGCTCTGCTCCTCAAATGCAGTTTCAGCCTCTGAACAAATGACAGTACAGCCACAATATAGTCCCTCATCCCTATTTCCACAAATGTGGTTTCCGTTCTTGCTGAGTTTTTTATCTACCAACGTTTCTTCCAAGCTTTATCAAAGACTGTCAAACTCAAAGAAAAGCTAGGGTTTTTTTCTCCCCTGCATTTTTTATTGCCACTGTTCACTCCAGAACACATTCCTGTGTTTTGGGAAGGAGAACAGGGGACCAGATACAAGCTCAGATTCCACCTCAAAATGTACTAGATGAGTTTCCCAGAACCTTCTAGACATGTGGTGGCACCACTGTGAAGAGGTCTGAGGGCAGCCTCTGCTGAGGTGGCCAATCCAAATGACAGCTCAGGAGGAAGGAAGGAAGGAGCAAAGAGGACTTTACTTCCCTTCAGGGAGGAGACTGGTTTATATTGGTGGCAGTCCTGATGCTCGCAGGGTTCTCTAAAGCTACCAGGGTTCCACTTGTCAGTTACTACCTGGCATGGCCCAAACAAGTCATTTGCCCTCTTTAGGCCCCAGCCCACATCTGTAAACTGCAGGCAGTAACTGCACCTGCCTCAGAGGACAGATAGGAGGACCAGATTCATGTGAGGGGTTAAGACGGTGCTGAGCATGGAACAAGTTCTCTCAGGGATCACACACTCTCAGAGAGACTTTCTCTGCAGCAAGTGGCACCTGTCTGCATGTCTGAAGAGACACTCCCAGTTGGCCATCTGGCCAGTGGTTCCACTCTCCACCTTGTTGCCTCAAATGCCTCCCCTGCAGAAAATGCATAAATTCCATATCTCTTTCTGCAAGGAGATGGCAACTGGAGCTTCAAATATGCGTGGCTAACTGAAGCTCGAAAGACAATAGTGGTTGTCTTGGGATTCTTATTTAATTTTTCCAAAAGGTCTTGGTAGGTGAGAGGAAGGTAGGCTGAGTGTTCACTTTAATTACACACTGCAGGACAAAGGAGCTGGAAATAAGCCTCCAAAGCGGGCCAATCACCTATCAAACACAGACAAGGAAGTACTCAGCCTCCAGCCATCTCCGAGGCTTGCCCAGCCCTCTGCCAGGCATGCGCCCAGCCCTCTTGCTGTCCCTGGGGTTTCCTTTTCACTATGTCCTGCAGGACTTGATGTCCTCTGTGAGTTGACCAGTCATCTGCTGGTGTGTCCAGGGTCCAACACTAGGTGTGCCCACAATGCGCATACCATGCGTCTTGACTTATCTACTCTGTCTTCTAGTCTGCAAAGAGCTGAATTCTGGCACTTAGATAAGATTTGCCTCATATCACCCTCAATTTCCCTCATAAGGCAGAACTGACCATTGATAGACAATGTCCAGAGTCTTAACAATTGTGCTAAAAGGCATGATTTCTAAAGATGTAAATCCTATTCCAGAATATCAAAGGAGAGAGAGACAGCTAATTACAGTGCCAGATTTTCACAAATTCGATAGGTCTTAAATGGTTATATGGAAAAGATTTTAAACTCTTCAGTGCCAACATCAGGACAGAAATGCTCAGGAGTCACCATACCCCTGCTCCAGCCCTGCTCCCAGCTCCCCCTAATTCCAGTCACCAGGAGCAAGGCTGGACCCCCAAACTCCCTGATAGTAAACCCAAAGGGATACCCAATATGCCCCCAGCTAAGTGGAAGAACATGAGCGTCCCATGAGTATATTTACTTGGCCCGCACTGTGTTCCCCAGAAGAACTAAGAACACCTATAATATTGGGTGAGCCTTTTCATCATTTAACAATGACTCAGGACACCAGGTGAAGGATGAAGACTGCAGAAACAGAATTACAGCAAGTGTCCCGGAAGGGCCTATGTGAGCATATGTGTGCCCACTGCCTCAGTTAGGATCCTGGCTCTGCCACCTGCTAGTTTGTGACCTTAGGCCAATTATTTGGGATCCTTGAGCCTCGGTTTCTTCATCTTTTACATGGAGACACTTAAGTGTCTGCCACAGTGGACTGTTGAGGGCATGGATAAATTTCACGTAACAGGTTCTTGAAGAGGGCACACTAAAACACTTCGATCGTTATTTGGCCCAAGAATAAGCTCTATGTGTGTGTTAGCTATTCTTAACAAATAACTAGTGTTGATGTCACTGTAAGCATATAAATGCACAAATAAGTAAGCTGGACGCTTCAACCCTGACCGAACACAATGCTCATCAGTAAATCTATCTGCTCTTCCTCTCTGAGGCCAATACCATGCAAGGCCCACAGCCCCGGGAATCCCCCCAGTGAGAACTGCCGGTTCAACAGACAGCCTCACCCACGAGAAATGGTTCACTTCTTTCCTGTTCCCTCCACAGTTTCTGCTCTGTAATCCCCATTGCCCACCCAGCCTCTTAGATGTTAAGGCTGTGCCTTCGGGGTGGGAGACTGAAATAAAACAGCGATTTGCAAAAATAAGCAGCGACGAGGGCTTTTCATTCTGTGTGAAGGTGAGCAGAGCTCCTGATGTGGTTTTGTGGGGGCCTGCCTCTGGGGCATGGTGATGCAGGTCTTCTGCAGGGGGACCCAAAGGGAATCTCTGGGCATCCCATAGGGGAAAGAAGTGACCAGGGCAGTCACATTTCATCTGTATCTATGCCCCTGCTCCCAAATTTTGCCCTGACCCTGAAGTCAAGGACAAAATTAGAGAAGATGAAGAATAAGGTGGACAACAGTACAGAAGACTCCTTCAAAATGTGGAAGACCAATGGACTTGCAACAGACACAGAATCCTAGAATCAGTGCTGCCAGGGAACTCCGAAGTGCAGTGTTCATTTACAGACACGCAAAGTAAGGCCAAGAGAAGTTAAGGGCTTCCAAGGGCAGCCGGTCAAGGATAATCAGTGATGAGAACCCACGTTTTCAGCAACCAGAAGTGCCGTAAGTGTTTGGCGTGAGAATAACAGGGGACACAGGGTCACGTGGCAGGTCCCTTAGGTGACAGAAGGCTCCCAGGGTAGCCTCAAGGATCCTCTCACTGTCCTCTTCATTTGCCCTGCAACCTCAGTAACAGTCACAGCTCAATGTCCTGAGGCTTTTGTTAGATAACAGGGTATTGTTGGGAGGAAAGCACGTGCTGAGGGATACTTATGGGGATAATGACAGAGGCGGAACCATGTCTGTGTGCATCTGTGTGTGTGTGTGTGTGTGTGTGTGTGAGAGAGAGAGAGAGAGAGAGAGAGAGAGAGAGAGAAGGACAGACAGAGAGCACAGAGGCGAAGAGAGAGGATTTAGGCCAGACCCAAGAGCAGCCTTGATGCTGCAGCCACGGTGATATGAACAAGCAAAGGAAAGACAGCGACCCACCTACAGTCACCTGGACAGGCTCCAGGCTCTGGGTTTGTCTCTCTTCACTTTCAGAAGCATCCTGGATCCCATTCAAATCGTTTCTCTTCTTAACGTGGGCGACCACGAAGAAAGACAACCCCACAAGCACAATCAAGGGCCCCAGGACCTGCAGGGACAGGAGGCCACAGATCTGGGGCTCCGAGTCAGCCGTGTCTGTCTTGTTCAGCGGTTCCTGCATCCAGTCTGAGCCACACCCAGGGACCCAAATGCCCAGTACGCTGATGAGCATGCCGCTCGTCAGGAACAGAAACCCAAAGATGAGGCACTGGACAAACTGGCGGCTCTCCCCACAGAGGAAGGGTCGGTCGGAGTCCCCCTGGTTGTTGCCTCGCAGGCGCGCCTCAGTTTGCTGAAGTCGTGCCCTGGAGCGGGCCAGGATCACAGCCCCCAGCCCAACCACGGCACACGCCGGTCCGGCGATCTTCAGCACCACGCTGCAGTCTGGGAAGGTTTCGTATTGGCACGCCTGGAACCCAAAGATAGAGAGCAGGACTCCCACGCACAGCAGGATGGCACCGATGACGAAAAGGAAGAAAATGAGCTTGCTGACATGCCTGTCTTCCTGGACCCCATCTGGCTCGGCAGCAGCGGCAGGAGACATGGCCAGGAGAGACCCCTTGCCCGAGGTGGGTGGGATGTGTGTATTCCCTTCGATGGTTTTAGCAGCTCTGCAGACATCACCAAACACCAAATTATAAAACCGGCACAGGTGTTCCTGACCCGCCCTGTTCTTTTTCCAAAATCACACTAGGATGAAATCATAAGGAACAACTTTGTGCAACTGATACACTGTAGAACAATGAGTTGGTTCCTGAGTCAGAGGAACTGGCATTCAGAAACTCCTGAATATGTAATTTTATAAAGATATGCAAGAAGGGGAAATGTATTTACCACTCTCCTAAGAGTATCTTGAAAACTCAAACCCATACAACAAAAGTAACTGGGTGTGGCTTTTCCTGTTATGAGTCTTATGGACTTACTTCCCCAGGAAAAAAAAAAAACCACATACACACACACAATGGTAAGTGAAGGAACCATATGGATTGTTTTGATTTATTGACATCCCACATTTCATCACAGCTGCTCTGAGCATTTCCAAGTGGGTAAATTTTCTCCTTCAGTAACTAACTTTCCATTTCCTGTTTTAGACTGCAGCAACTTTCCATTCCTGGCTTTATTCTAAGGCTCCATCTACAGAAGACCCAAGTTCAACAGTTTCAGCTGAAGGTGAAGGCGATTCAGGAACACAGTGAGTTTGGGAGCTTTTAAGTTAATTCTGTCAAAATGTGACTCTTGAGACCTCAAACAGGCACGCACTGGGGCCGCCCTGAAATCTGGTGCTCTGGTTACTGGGTCTCAGATGACTTGGGGGGTTCCAGCACAGCGGCCCACGTAGCCCCTCGTCCCCCAGGTAGGCAGGCGGCCTCCTGCTTGCCTTCCTTCGTGGTGCCACCCACTTCCACAAAAAGCTTCGGCCACATTAAAAATATGCAGCTGATAAAAATCACCAGTTACAAAACACTAAACAGTGACAGAACTTTGAAAGAGTATACATGAAATCAAGTGGAAAAGCACCTTCCACCAGACCACCCAAGCCCTGTACTTCAAGGGTCTCCTATATTAAATGTACCCCCAAGCAGTGGGTAAAGAGCTGTCTACTTTATACAGATTGACTTTATCAGCCAGTTACCTTGTCTTACGCTAATGAATGGAATATTTTTCCAGGACCCTTCTAGTCAGGGCACTCAAAAAGACAACCCCAGGGTGAAGAACATACTCACTTACTCAAAGAAAGAAAACTTGAAAAATATTTTATGCCACTTGCATCCATGATCCCATGAAAGAGCTAGAAATTGAGTCGCTAAAGCCAAGGCTATCTTGACAAACACAAATCATGTGCAAGTAGCGTCAGTTTCAGTAAAGAAAGGAAACAGCTGATCTTATTCTAGGAAGTACTTTTCCAGGAATAAGTAAGATAAAATCAGAAGGAAGTTGGAGAGAGAAGGAAATAGAAGTGGGAAACAAGCTTGTGCTTTAAACTTGGACCAACTATATTTATGAAGATGAAATTAAGCTGAAACAAACACTTAAAGTATTGCACTAGTTTAAAAAAAAAGAAGAGACTCTGAATCCTGTAATATCTTTTGCTGGTCTGGAGATAGAGGTGAAGGGTGACTGTGCTACAAAGCCCTATCAGTTCATTGTAGGGTGGTGTTTTGACTCTGATGTGAGTCACAAGGCTTCAATTGCCTTAAGGCAAATCCCCAAATACTAGTAAAGCCTAAATTTGGATGTGTAGCTTCCCTTCCACGGACTAATGGACTAAGTATTTGGCATAGGTAGTTAATTCCCCATTCAAATTAGTATGTTCATCCATCTCTCCGCCCCCCAGCCCCCGACCACGAATGCACTCACAAAGTGGCACAGATATCTGCAGTAATAGGAAAGTAAACCTTTCCCAAATACCAGCCTACACTTCATTTCCCCAAAGCCAAATCCGCCTCACAATGCTGTTTGCCAAAGGCCATTTCCAAATGAGCAGCAGGTCACCACGTCCAAAGCGCTGTGTTTGGGGGCTGACGCAAAGAGGCAAAGCCCTCCCTGGGAAAGAGCTTTGCGGGTGTCGAGAGCCAGAGCTCCCTCGGGAGCAGGTTTAGCGCGGCTGCTCCGCGCGGCGCCGCTCCCCGCACCCCGCCTGAACGCTAAACAGCGCTTGCCCCACGGCCGCAGAGCGCGCTCCCCAGGGTGCGGAGGAGCGCGGGGCCCGGGGCGCTTACCTGAGGCTCGGTCCTGCGAGCGCGCTGACGGCGCCGGCAATCGGCGGGCAGCACGGGCCGTGGGCGCCCGGCCGAGCGCGGCGCCCAACCCCGCCCGCGGGCGGGCCGCGCGGTGTTTACAGAGGAGGCGGTGCGGGGAGGCGCGGGGCGCGGGCAGGGCCGGGCGGACTGGCCGGAGCTGGCCGCCGCCGGGTGCTGCCCTTGCGGGCCACAGGCGCGCCGGCTCTGGGGTGGAGAGTGAGGGGCAGCGTCGGGACCCGGGCGGCTTCCGCGTCCGTACCCGTGCCCGCAAGGAATCCGGGAAAAGTGCCCCGCCGCCGCCACCTCCTTGGCCTGTGGCCCTTGGGCAGGGGGCGGCAAGTTGGGGTTCTCCTGGCTGTCCCAAGTCACAAGGCGACGGTCGAGATCCAGGCGGCGTGTAGGAGCCGGTTCCCTTCCGGGCCGAGAGCCCAGAATTTGGGCTGGGAGTGGGGGAAAAGGGCAGCTCCTGCCCCTCTCTTCGGCTTGACCGCCGCCTAGGCAGGGGTCGCGGGGTTCCCGCCGCTGCGCCCTCTGCGACGGTCCACCCAGTGGCCTGTGGCCCTCCTGCCGCTCCGGAGATCTTGGCCGGGGTCCGTGGAGCTAGCCTCTTGCCGCGAGCGCCCGGACGAACAGGTTATAAAGACACCAGGTCACAGAAACGTGCGCTCCATTAGAGTGGGAGACAAGGGTCCTCCCGTCCCGAGCCGTTCGGACCTTCCGTCCTAGCTCCGAGACTCACGAGACTCACGTATGGTCGCAGTCCCTCTTTGCCATCGAACTCCCTTCCCGGTTCTCAGGTGCTTGTGGTTTGCCGGAGTTAAACTGGTAACTTTGCCCTTGAACCAGGCGGTTTCGGGATGGGTTTGCTAATCCCCGTGCTATTTGTAACCTGCCCCGTCTAACACGTGACACGGAATTAACTGTGCCAGTTTCCACACCAGAGGTCAGGGCGCCGTGAAAGGTGAGTCAGGCTCAAACAGGGCAGCGCCCTGAGCCCTTCCCCATCCCTGCCTCTCCCCTCTGGGGTCCTGTCCACTCCTGAAGCCCAGTCGGGAGTTCACACCCATTGCCTTAACCTTCTGAAAGAGTAAGCACCTTGCATACCCAGTGCAGCAAGTTGTCCCCAGCCGTTTTCCCCTGCGGTGAAGAATGAGTTGTTCAGCTGATTACAGAAGTGAGAGGGAGACTCAAAGAAGGGGCCAGAGGGAGGCAAACAGGGAAGGGTGGCCACCTGGGCTCTGGGCCCCAAGTGCTGGGCGGGCGAGACAGGGCTGCCTCGGGGAGGAAGGCTGGCACGTCCAGTGGGAGGGGTTTGCCGGGCCACTGACCCCAGTGCCGGAAGATTATTACTATCCTGAGTATCACACCCCTTGCTCTGGGCCGGGTTCTGTGTTACCCACTTCACCTACATACAGCCTGTGTGTGGTTCTCCGCTATGTGTCTCCAGCAGCTCCAGAGAGGTTACAGGCGACAGGGGAGCTAAAAAGCTCATTTTTCAGGTGAGGAACTGCAGCCCTAAGATGTAAAGTGACCCCCACAACTGGTTAACGGGGAGCACGGGCCTGAACCAGATGTACTGACCGTTCCTCCCGGGGGCCGCCTGTCACCCAGAAGGACACATAATGCCACAAACTCAGAAAATGGCTTTTTTATTATGTGGCTTTTTGATCATTACAACAAAACAGACACTGTTCCCAAGGACGCTGCGGCAATCTGTGTCCGGGTGGAGCTGTCCTGGTCAAAGTGTCAGGTTCTACCACCTGCTGGAAGGGCCTCCGAGCACGCCCAGCTAACGAACAAATAATCAGCAGTGGTGATTGCACAACCGCAGGGGCGTGCAGCTTTCTAAGAACACAGTCCTGACTACAGGATCTGCCTTTCTACACAGGCCTGCTCACAACTCCTTTCTGTACAAGGGGCTTTCCTTCTCCTTCCCCTGCGCATTTTTTCCTTCTTCCTTATTTGAAATTCAATCTCCGGCCCCGTCGTGTGTGGGCCTGCGTGGGGCCTGTTGATACAGCTGCCCCTCCGGTGCCACATGACTGCAGGCTGGCCACACATGACAGATTTGAATGTACTGGCACCAAGGACAATCAGATTAGCCTCCACTTGGGATGTCTGCTGCTTGGACTGTTTGTGTCTTTTGGAGCCTGTTTGACTAAATTAAACTCCTTGGAAACCGCTCACCGGTCAAGTATGAAAGACGTACCCACCAACCTTCAAGGTGCTTATGTTTGTAGCAGACCTGTTTCTTAGGAGATTGGATGACCTTGTCGCTATCTAAAACCTGGTGGCCTTTTCCAGCCCACGTGGTATGAAAAAAGATCAGTCCAGTCTGTCTTTAGAAAAATAGCATCAGAACAAGCCTTAAAAATGGACGAATCTTGAATTCAGGAAGTGAATATGAAGAGCAAAGCTGAGGAATGTATCCATTTATTCATTCATCAAATATTTATTGAGTGCTGACTATGTGCCAATAAGAAACACAAAATCCTTTTGCTTCATGGAACTTGTGTTTTTAGTGAGGAGAAAGGCAATGAAAGAAGTGTGGAAATTACCCAGAGTACTAGAAGATGATTGGGGGTCCCAGGTGGCACGGTGGTAAAGAATCTGCCTGCCAATGCAGGAGACGAGGCTTCCACCCCTGGGTTGGGAAATTTCCCTGGAGTAGGAAATGGCAACCCATTCCAGTATTCTTTCTGGGAAAAATCCCATGGACAGAGGAGCCTGATGGGCTACAATCCATGGGGACACTATCGAGTTGGACCCTGCTGAGCGATTGAGCAGGCATGCAGAAGGTGATAAGTGCTGTGGAGAAAAAGAACTCACAGGTGGAGATTAGGGAGTGCTGGGGAGATTCCAGTTTCACAGGGTAGTTAAGGAGGGCTTCTCTGAGAAAGTGATATGGCAGGAAAAACTTAAGGGGGATGAGAGAGCAAGCATATTGATATCTGTCATCGCATAAAAAATGATCTGCAAAGGCAGAATTTAAACAACAAAGGTTTATCCTCTCTCATAATTTCTGAGGGTTGGGAATCTGGAACAGCTTGGCAGGGTTTGGTTCTGGCTTGGGATCGCTCATGAGGCTGGGGTCAAGCAGTTTGCTGGGGCTGCCTCGTCTGAAGACCTGACTGGGGCTGGAGGATGTGTTTTCAGGGTGCCTCTCTCCCGTGGCTGTGGGCGGGAGGGCCCGGTTTTTCACTCTGTAAACCTCTGTCCACTGCACAGAGTGTTCTCAGGACATGGCAGATGGCTTCCTCTGGGGGGTGTGATTCAAGAGAGAATGAGTGAGGAGGACAGTGTAGTGCCTTTTATGACAGCCTCTGAAGTTCCACATCATTGCTTCTGCTTTATTCGGTTCCTTAGAATTGAGTCACTAGGTCAAGGAAAGAGGGATTAGGCCCCACCTCTTGAAGGGGAGAGTATCACAGAATTTGTGACTATATTTTAAAACTGTCACAGAGAAATGTGGAGCTATTTGGGGGGAGAAGGGAAGAGCACTTCAGGCAGAGGAAACAGCGAGGACAAAGGCCCTGAGGCAGAAGCAGGCATAGTATAGTCGAGGAAGAACAAGAAGCCAGGGTAGTTTGAGCAGGTAAGCAAGCGGGAGAGGCTAGGAGGAGGGCAGAGAGAAAGGGTGTGTGTGTCACATCTCTAGAGTCTGTCAGGCTGGGTCGGCCATTGTAAGTGCTTTTTGCCCCCATCCCCCACCCCCACCCCCGGCCACTCTGTACAGCTCGCAAGATCTTAGTTCCCCAACCTGGGACTGAACCCAGGCCCCCAGCAGTGAAAGCACAGCGTTCTAACCACTGGACCACTAGAGAAGTCCCCATTGTAAATATTTTGAGCATGATGAGAAGCCTTTTCAGGGTTTTTTAGCTGAGTGTGATTGATCTGACTTGTTTTAAAAAAGAAAACAGGATTCCGGGTGTGAATAGCCACGGGAGGAGGAGGTGGAGATGAAGAGACCATTAAGGAGGCCATTATGAATAATCCGAGAGAGAGATGACCATGGCTACTGTTTGGAGGTGATAAACACAACTGAATTCTGAATGTGTCTCATATATCTCAAAGATAGAGTCAGCAGAGTTTTCCATGGACTGGATATGGGTTGACCCAAAGGTTTTTGACCTGAAGAACTGGAAACATGGTTGTGGCATTAACTGAGACTGCAGGTAGGCAATTTGAGGGTGAGGCTTCACAGATTGGTTTGAAAATTGATGCTTTCAAACTGTGGTGCTGGAGAAGTCCCTTGGACTGCATGGAGATCAAACCAGTCATCCTGAAGGAAATCAACCCTGAATATTCCTTGGAAGGACTGATGCTGAAGCTCCAATACTTTGGCCACTTAAAGAGCCAAAGAGCTGACTCATTGGAAAAGACCCTGATGCTGGGAAAGATTGAGGGAGGAGGAGAAGGGGGTAACAAGGATGAGAAGGGGGTGACAGAAACATCATCGACTCAATGGACATGAGTTTGAGCAATCTCTGGGAGATAGTGGAGGACAGGGAAACCTAGCATGCTGCAGTTCACAGGGTTGCAGAGTCCGACACGACTTAGTGACTGAACAGCAACTTTGAGATGTCCATTAGACTTCTGAGTGGAGAAGGGGAGGAGGCAATGGAACGTATTGTCCTGAAGTTCAGGAATTCTGAAAGAAACAGCTTTCTATGTCTGTCAGTGACAGTCATTAGAACATCAACAGGGTTGGGCCCATCCTCTAGAAGAGTTGACACGTACATATGTGGCTACTGAGGGCTCCAGGCAGGCAGAAAGCAAGGGGCTGACTGATGCCTGACACTCCCCAGGGCACTGCCAACCCGGAGAAGCAGCTCAGAACTAGTGATTGGCTCAAGACTGTAGAATTCAGTATGCTCGTTTTTCAGAACTCACAAGATTGCAGAAAGACAGTTCATCAGTTGAGTCTGCCAGCTTCTAGTTTTTCTTTTCTTTTTTGGTTGCTCTCTGGTTCTGCTCCAGGTTAACCTGAGCACACAGAGGCATGCATTCCTCTCTTCCAGTTCCTGACATTTCTTGAGGCTCCCCTGGGGCACAGGAATTTGCTCTCGAGTGCTTTCTTGGATC